AAATAGTTCTTCAAAAAGTTTGAAAAATTCACCATTCATTTTGTGGAACAATTGTATAATTTATATGCATGAACTTGGACCATGCACAAATTTTGGTGCAAAATTTCTTACTTTTTGTTTTCTAAATATTTTTTTCTTCATGTAATTTTTGACCAAATGAATGGTCTTACTATTGCCTAATAAAGGTTTTTTTATTACGGAAAATTTATTTTAGTTTACTCTCTAAAAAATGACAAAAGTTAAATTTTTCTTTCAAAACTTTAACCTAAGAGAATGCTACAAATTTTGAGTCACAAATGTTTGCCAAAGTGGTGTTTGTTTGGTTGCCTATAACCCTGTAATTACTATGCTGACCTATCAATTTTTACCTGTCATTTTTATTCTCTGTATCAAACTATTACAAATATTAAGAAATTCAAAATTAATGCTTAAATCATCACAGTCATTATGCAGTGTGTGTTTAAATTACATATAAAAAAAACAAAAATGTCATACGCTCATTACGTACGTTGTATGGGACCCATATTGAACATGACATGGAGTGACGTTTCTGATTCTTCAATTCATGCGTTAATTCTTGCCCACTTACAAACTGTAGTGTCTCTTGGGTTACCTCCATCTTAGGAAAACAATGGCATCATTTCTTTGCACAAGTCATACTGGGCTTGGCCGGGTGTGAGGCGTTGCCCTGAAAGGAGGCATTTTTTTGTCCCTGCTGTGCTTTTATGAAGCATACAATTGTAGGCGCTAAGAGGTGTTTGCTATGCTGAGCTGCTGGATTCTATTCAGTACAGTATGCCATAGGGTACCAGTGAATGAAACTCAATCACACTCAATAAGATCGCAATTCAAGAGGTGAACAAACTTATTTCAGTTGTCAATTAAACCTTGTTGATCACAAAATGTCAAAAATATATCTGATACTACCCGATAAATGATGTATAATGTTCTCCAGTAGAATACCACATTGTTTTAGAAAATTTTGCGATTGTTGATTTAATAAGACGTTAGAGTAAAATTCACTAAAAGGGTCTGTGACTAAGTACCCTAATGAAATGTACACTGTTACGAATTGCCCTGAAATTTACAAGGGGCTATACCTATCATCAACATCATGGTAATTAAGGACCGGCAGGAATTTTTATTTTTTGACTGCAGTGAACATAGAGTTATATTAAATTTCAAATTTTGGTGTGCTGTGGTTGTGTTATTAATTAAAATTGAAACGCACATGAGTGAATTGAATACACTTTGCTTGCGAAACTATATAATGTAAATGTGGTTGTGTTTACTGTTATTAATTCAGCTAAATTTGTATTCAGAATTAAAACACATAATTGTGATCTGTTTTTAAATACACCTAACTTGAAAAACTATATAACTTGAGAGTGGCTGTGTTTACTGTGATTAATTCAGCTAAATTTTAATTTAAAATTAAAACACAATATGTGATCTGTTTTAAAGAAATACACTTTACTTGAAAAACTATATAACTTGAGAGTGGCTGTGTTCACTGTGATTAATTCAGCTAAATTTTAATTTAAAATTAAAACACAATATGTGATCTGTTTTAAAGAAATACACTTTACTTGAAAAACTATATAACTTGAAAGTGGTTTTGTTTACTGTGATTAATTCAGCTAAATTCAGGAAGGGACATTTATGTAGCCTATAATCTCATTGAATTTATGGTCTGGAGTTAAACACAGTAGGTGGTTCCTGATCATCATATGTCGATCCTTATGGTATTTGTGATAGATGTACATATGGACCACACAGCTTACTCACTTAAAAGAAAAAAACCTAATGAGAGATAACAGCTCGAATATCAACGAAAAAACATTTTGCATTGTGCAAACCTTTGTATTTCTATTTTCATGTGCATCCAAGGTAAACAAAAGAAGTGTTTGATTGTGATGTAAATTTGATTTACATTTTCCAATTAGGGAAGACTGTAACAGTTTTGATCACGTTCGTATAGCAGATGTACCGTATTATAATTCGTTATGTCATTAAAATTTATACACAATGTAAAAGTCGCAACTATATTATTACATTATATCTCTAAACAAATTCTTCCTCTTGCTGTAATAGATTTTTTTGGACAATGATACGATGAATTGAACCCATGGAAGGGAATCAAATTAAATTATATAAAATTGCTTCATCAACAAAAACATTAATTTAAAAACTCGTCCAATTAGCAGATTTTCACAAAATTCTGTAGCAGTGAAATTTTCACAAAAGATTTGTCTCTGGCTCCTACGTCAACAACTCATCAAATTGTGCAAATCTCGGAAAATAGAAATTTAACAATTTAAATATCTCTGTAGCCAAGAGGTACCGTATTTGCTCAATTAGAAGCGCATCTCCAATAGAAGTTCCTATAAAACAAAAATCACATTTTATACAGTAAATCATTAAATTGAAACACTTGTATAATTAATGTAAACACATGCGTTACTAATAAAGCAAGTATGGTATGTGAATTCAGGCTTTAAACCACATCTTTAATGTTACCTCAATGCATGTGTGTGTTGATTTGTGTAACCATGTAGGTGAATTGCTGAATAAAATGATAAAATACTGGTTATACTAATTATCACTTGACTCGAATTAAATTGCACCAATTTACTAATTGAGTGAGTGATTTATTCTTCTGTTCTATGTGACATGTTGCATTAATGGTAACTAATAGCTGTGTGTGGTAATAAATTTGTTTTATTGTCTTGAGATAAAGGTTCATACTTGGGTGATATAATACCCCTTAGCAATGTGTAAATAAACATCACCCCATTAGGGAAAATTTACCTACCCTTCTGCATTGCAGAAATGTACATTGTATTATTGTTGCCATGGAAACCAACATTCGTTATTTTTGTCATGTTTTTCTTTGTATCTATTACATGAGATGACATATTTTTTTC